CGGTCCTGTATCTCCATTCCTGCGCATGTTTGAACGGGGAAACCGCTATGCTTCGACAGCTGGGGGGCTGCTAGTCACATACACCCTCAATGTGTGTGAGCGTACTATGTGTCTTTAACTAGTGTGTACATTATTCCATGGACCACGTGTTGTACGAGTATACTAAGGACTGGCCTATAGAATGAATAGGAGAAACTAAACAAAAAAATCATGCACTAGTGAAAGATATGGATTTGTTGATCGTGATTCGTATACAATTCGCGCGGTCCCACGTGGCCCACAAAGCGCGCATTAAATGCGTATCACGCTGTCGTCAATGTGTTAATCATGCATTACCTTCAGAGTATGACGTAGCCACAATCTGCTCTTATGGGTCGCCGCCATCGCCGTTCGAAGGTCACTCGAGTAGTGAATCTCGTCAAGAAGATCATCGCCTTCTTCTTCTCGCATATAGGTCTCTGTGCACTGGTAAGTATCTCTTACTTGGCTCCGCGGCTTTACGGAAGCGCACATTCGGTAGCGACAAATCTGTCAACCACAAGCGTAATAGTGCATGGATCGAATCCGGAGAATTTTTACAGTGCATGGATCGGATCCGTGTCTTACCCAGGTCCTTTCCAACTGTCTGAAGTAGGCTATGTGGGGTAACATGGTTTTCTAAAAGAAATAATGCACTGACTCACATGGCGTCGTCAAAAGTAATTTGCTATGTACACCAATGGTAAAAAAGGATAGTCTTCGCCTGTTGATCAATCCCTTTGTGGGATGCGGCACGCATTCTACTTCCATTCAGAATCGTAGTGGCTTATTGAATGCGATGTGGCCTATACAATGACTTGCGGGGCCAGCCGATGTACAAGTCAGTGTTCTTATCCTCCCAACGAATCTGTCCAATTTACTGTCCCGGAGGGTGGAAGGCTTGGTGGGCCTGGATGGGAGCCAATCCAGGGTTTGATTCAGGACAATGCCGGTAGTAGCGCCACTTGTTCACTGCAGCACCTCCAACCTCGCTAGGAGAAAGTGTAAACAGCCTTAACATCTCGAATAGGAGTCCAGTCAACGGATCATCAATGAAAAGACTACCAAAGCTGGTTGCTTTTCTTTTCACACATTCTGGTATTCAGCATACTCACTATATTGGTTATAGTCAGTCGTCCGATTTAGGAAGGGGCTCGAATCCTACGCTTCGTGATTTTCCGGTACACGCTACCGCCTTTACATCAGCCACCAGACCAAGAGTATGTTTGAAAGTTCCTCCACTTTGGCCCACAATTCGCCACAGCAGTCTCTCTGGTAAGCACAGCATTCTGTGCTCTGGTGTTTCGAGCACAACAACTATCACGCCTAATTTATTATAATGCCTAGCTTGACATTGGAGAACTGTTGAGGATGACCCCGGCTAGTCGACCTTAAAGCTCAGGGATGAAAACAGAACAGATTAGAAAATAGACAGCAAGACTTTTGAATATTGTTAGTGAAAGAAAGCACCGAGCACTACCGTATCCCACATTTCTAGCCAGGGATGAGAGAAATAGTGGTAATGCTTTACAACAGCGAACAAAAGAACCTGATTTTCTTGAAATAGCTGCGCATAACCCAATCAGGGTAATACTGTAGTTGTGATGACTTTCACGGGAAAGCTTTATGGTAATCACATTTCCAGACATTGCTACTAAATAAATAGCAGAGCAGCTCGCTTATAGTTTGATCGTTTTATAGTTGCTCCCAAAATACTTCCCTGTGAGCTCCACTGTCATCAAACCTGTTCATCACCTTCCTGCATGTAGTTGGATTTCCGGATTGGAAAACAAAGGACGGACCAGACGGCTGACAAAAGAAGAACTGTTTTCCACAAAAAACAATCTCGCCCCCGCGACTCGCGGCCTGTCTATGATCGTCATCACATACGGCATGACAGTTGTCTCAAAGGAAATTTCCTACGACAAAGCCCTGCTATATTTACGCAACCATATGTACGCCATGTTCAAAGGAGTCAGCCACGCCCTCTCCGTCTCCGAGATATGGAGTGCTCCCATTCCAAGTGAAAGCAGTAAACCTAAAATGAGCATAAGAGTTAAGATGCTTGAAAATTGCGTCCCCGTGTTGTTAGTCGACCGCGGTTCCTTCAACGTGTTGAAGTCGATGGTGGCAGAATTAAAACGTTAATTAGGCATTAATGTCGGGAGAAATAGCAGGATCAGTGATCCCCTTCTCTACAGGAAGTGGAACAGCAATTATGGAATTTGCAGAAAAAGCTGCATACCTAATAATCCCACTTCCGTGTTTGTACCATCCAGGATATACGGCCCCGTGACTGAAGCATACATCCAGGATATACGGCTTCTTTGACTGAAGCATACACAGCTCTTGGAAGTACTGCACCGCACAGATAACTCGCTTGTGAAGCTGCTACGTACATAGCGGAAGAAGTTACCCTCTTAGGTTCTTCCGGGTTTTTACAACCAGCAAACTGGCGCCAAAGTTGAAGTGCAGACTAATGATTGTCTGAGACCGCTGAAGGGATCACGGCGATAATGCTACTTCTACTACTGGCTATGGACTTTACTACTTCTTCTATTTCAGCATATACTGAAGATTTTCAATTCAGGTGGTCGGATATGCATTGTTGGGAGCGGTCATTTTTCAAGCAGTCGAAGGTCCACATGAAGAGCAGGTACGCCATTCTCACTAATTGTTTTCCGGGAGCGGAAGAATCATCTCTTATTGCTAAGAGATATGATCATCTCCCCAGACCTTAATATAACCACTGAAGCCAAGCTATCATTTCTGAACCATGACACCATATGACACCACATGACACTGCCAGATTAAGGTCTTTCGGCTTACTCCACAAGCCCACTGAATGTGTATGTGTTGCG